AAAGGAAATTTCCTTTGGAATGGGGGTTGTTTGGCTTCTTTGTCGGCCTGCAATGCCCCCATTCCAAGGGGGTGGACTCGTTGTCCTGCACAATTTGCAAGTTTTCTTAAGCAGAACTCTAACTCAAAACTATTTCTGACATTTTGAATTGAAAAAGCTTCCTGGATGTGATGAGAAACGTCTTCAAACTTGGAAAAAAATTCCAGTGGATTGTTTTTTTTTTTAAACTTTTTGGAATGAGTTTGACCTGGATGAAGGAGTTCTGAAACCTGGGGGCAATTATCTTAAACTAATATTGTGATTTTTATTAAATTTTTCCTTGCGCTAACTACAATCATGTAAATGCTTTAGTAAAGGGTTTCGAGTTTTGCATGACCTTGGAAGCTGTCCGAAGTCAAATGTTTTTTTTTTCGGGACCTTTGTGTTAAAAAAAAACTGCCAACTTCGACTTGCAAGCATGAATATGTGAGCTAGCTCCATCTTTCTCTTCTCTCCTGCGATGATTGCAAACTTACTTTGAGCCTGTTATCACCACCTAAAGGACTGGAATAAGACATTTAACAACTTAATTGAGTTTAATTTAATGTAATATTACCAAAATTGAGTGCCTCTGCGATTTAAAATAGCTTTTTGTCAAATTGCAATTATATTTCAAATGAAATTAATTGCCCAGCCGTACTTTACTGTACCTGATGTAAAATTGCTCTTGAAAAACGTTTCTTCAAAATGCTTCTCAAATAAATGCAACTTGTCCGCAAATGGTAAACTACTCTGTTAATTTTTATCTGGAATAATAATAAACTAACTATTACCAATGCTTAATGAATTAATTCTGCTAGAATAAATATTTTCTGTTACTTCTTACTGTCATGATGGGTCTAATGTGTCTTGCCCACATGCAGAAGGACTCAAAGAGATTTGAAAAAGGTTTAACAGTTTAATGGAAAGACTGCAGAACAAGACATAGAAAACAGTTCTCCAGCTTGGGGAGGTTCCAGGGATCAGGTGAACCGGAAGCGGAAACTGTAGGAGGAGATCAGAGTGGTGAGTTCAAGGTCTGTGGGAAAACAGGCCGATGTCTGAATTTATGGTTTGACTTGGACTCACTGTTGTGGTTTGGGGAGGTTCCAGAGTTCCTGTTTGTGGAGGCTTGCAGTGTCGAAGGTGTTGTTCTTTGGAGGGCGGATAGGCAGACAATGTGGTCCTGAGGAGCAGCGGAGAAGACTGTTACTTGTTCCTGACGTGAAAGGCATTCAGATAGGGAGTTCTGACTCCCTTTCTCAGCATGACGAGAGAGTTCCTTCCTAGGCTAGAAGGACCTGGCTTATCCAGTGGATCCGTAGATATCCTGCCGGAGAATCACAAAGAGAAAACTTGGTTAAAGCTTGAGAAGTCAGAAGAAACTAGAACTCAAAGCATGACTCAGCAAAACTCTGAGGGGTTAAGAGTACCGATTACTGGCAAACACTCTGGCGAGGAAGTGAAGACAGTCTGCTGCTTAAATACTCCTCAGGAAGTGATGAGAACATGAAGCCCTCCAGACCAGCAGAGAACAATGGCACCATCTGGTGGATGCACGGAGGAACTGAAAGAGAACAAAAAACAAACCACAAACTGGAACCCTAACATTTACCAGGATTTTATTTGGACCTTAAACTCAGTCTCCCATCTGGGTTTTTCTCTCCTCCTCCTTGTCTGAATCGACCTGGATGTCTACTTCAATCTGCTGGTCCAATCACATCGGTCCTAAAAAACAAACATTGTTTTGGTGCATTTGGTTGCGTCCACCTGGGTCCACCTTTGAGTCATTTTTTTTCCCTCTGCGCTTTTCTGGTTCTTTTGCAGCTTAATATCCGTTTCCACAGGTTGAAACACAGTCACCTATGTATTCTTCTCTCGGAGGGAGGGGGCCGGCCCTGAGGGGTCAGAGATGAAAGCCATAATATTAAAAGGGTGTTTTTATACTTTAATTGATACATTATTTCATTTGATTATTTTTTATGAATTGTATAAAATCTTTTTGTTTAATTAAATTCATATCATCAGGTCAGAAATACATGTCAGCCCACCTGGTACAGTCAGAGCATTAGGGCCAGGCTAGAATTTATTTTTGTTTTTTTTTATTCGAGAATAAAGTCGTAACATTGAGATAGTTTTATGACTTTATTTTCGTAATGTTATGACTTTATTCATGTATTAAAAATAAATAAAAGTCTGTCCCTAATACTCCGTCAGACCCGAGGGCCTATCAAGACCTAAGCAGGAAAAAAAATCCTGCTAATTTAAATCTCTAGCTCAATGTATGGTGTTCAGGTTTGTGCAACAGGGTAAAATTGTAGCTAAAGAGATGAGAAGGAGAAAAAGAGAAACTAGGTCAAGGGAAGGGGATTATCATGTTAAGAGTGTATAAAAACCAAACCAATAAAACAAAACATTCTTTGATTTCAGATCTTCCTGAAAAGTGATCGTGTGTCACGGATGGTGCAAAGCGGTGGTTTTTCGGCCAGCGATTCCCGTGACGTTTTTAAGAAGCACATAGAGAAGCGGGTTCGCAGCCTGCCTGAGATCGACGGCCTGAGCAAAGAGACTGTGCTGAGCTCCTGGATAGCGAAATTTGACACCATCTATCGAGGAGAGGAAGACCTCAGGAAGCAGCAGCAGAGGATGACAGCCAGCGCTGCTTCTGAGCTCATCCTGAGCAAGGATCAGCTGTATGAGATGTTCCAACAGATCCTTGGGATCAAGAAGTTTGAGCACCAGCTGCTCTACAATGCCTGCCAGGTTAGTGCATCATCATGCCATCTTGCTTTCAGCTGGGCTATTTAGAAAGGAAACACTACTTTTGGGCTGTCAACTCTCACCCATTGGGCCTGAGACTCTCAGTTTCTTCTTCTATCCACACTCCATATTCTAAATTTTTCAACCAATGAAATGACAGGCATTAAAAATAAACTCAATTCCACTTNTCCTAGGCTAGAAGGACCTGGCTTATCCAGTGGATCCGTAGATATCCTGCCGGAGAATCACAAAGAGAAAACTTGGTTAAAGCTTGAGAAGTCAGAAGAAACTAGAACTCAAAGCATGACTCAGCAAAACTCTGAGGGGTTAAGAGTACCGATTACTGGCAAACACTCTGGCGAGGAAGTGAAGACAGTCTGCTGCTTAAATACTCCTCAGGAAGTGATGAGAACATGAAGCCCTCCAGACCAGCAGAGAACAATGGCACCATCTGGTGGATGCACGGAGGAACTGAAAGAGAACAAAAAACAAACCACAAACTGGAACCCTAACATTTACCAGGATTTTATTTGGACCTTAAACTCAGTCTCCCATCTGGGTTTTTCTCTCCTCCTCCTTGTCTGAATCGACCTGGATGTCTACTTCAATCTGCTGGTCCAATCACATCGGTCCTAAAAAACAAACATTGTTTTGGTGCATTTGGTTGCGTCCACCTGGGTCCACCTTTGAGTCATTTTTTTTCCCTCTGCGCTTTTCTGGTTCTTTTGCAGCTTAATATCCGTTTCCACAGGTTGAAACACAGTCACCTATGTATTCTTCTCTCGGAGGGAGGGGGCCGGCCCTGAGGGGTCAGAGATGAAAGCCATAATATTAAAAGGGTGTTTTTATACTTTAATTGATACATTATTTCATTTGATTATTTTTTATGAATTGTATAAAATCTTTTTGTTTAATTAAATTCATATCATCAGGTCAGAAATACATGTCAGCCCACCTGGTACAGTCAGAGCATTAGGGCCAGGCTAGAATTTATTTTTGTTTTTTTTTATTCGAGAATAAAGTCGTAACATTGAGATAGTTTTATGACTTTATTTTCGTAATGTTATGACTTTATTCATGTATTAAAAATAAATAAAAGTCTGTCCCTAATACTCCGTCAGACCCGAGGGCCTATCAAGACCTAAGCAGGAAAAAAAATCCTGCTAATTTAAATCTCTAGCTCAATGTATGGTGTTCAGGTTTGTGCAACAGGGTAAAATTGTAGCTAAAGAGATGAGAAGGAGAAAAAGAGAAACTAGGTCAAGGGAAGGGGATTATCATGTTAAGAGTGTATAAAAACCAAACCAATAAAACAAAACATTCTTTGATTTCAGATCTTCCTGAAAAGTGATCGTGTGTCACGGATGGTGCAAAGCGGTGGTTTTTCGGCCAGCGATTCCCGTGACGTTTTTAAGAAGCACATAGAGAAGCGGGTTCGCAGCCTGCCTGAGATCGACGGCCTGAGCAAAGAGACTGTGCTGAGCTCCTGGATAGCGAAATTTGACACCATCTATCGAGGAGAGGAAGACCTCAGGAAGCAGCAGCAGAGGATGACAGCCAGCGCTGCTTCTGAGCTCATCCTGAGCAAGGATCAGCTGTATGAGATGTTCCAACAGATCCTTGGGATCAAGAAGTTTGAGCACCAGCTGCTCTACAATGCCTGCCAGGTTAGTGCATCATCATGCCATCTTGCTTTCAGCTGGGCTATTTAGAAAGGAAACACTACTTTTGGGCTGTCAACTCTCACCCATTGGGCCTGAGACTCTCAGTTTCTTCTTCTATCCACACTCCATATTCTAAATTTTTCAACCAATGAAATGACAGGCATTAAAAATAAACTCAATTCCACTTGTTGATATATAAACATACCATGTTGATAAAATCCAGTCCGCGTTTTCAACACAACTTAAGTGCTAACGCATAACGACATGCCAGGTTCATATCCAGTCCAGGGGTGGATTTAAGAACTTTGGGGCCCTAGGCAAACACAGACAGGGGGCTCTCTGAAATGAGAAGACAACAAGACTCCCAGATTCCACATACTCCATCAGCGCTCCGTTCAAAGTAATTGTCTTTCGTGTTATGCAATGAGAACTGTTCCACATCCACCACTACTCCTCCGTACATCACCACCCACGTACATTTTCTCCGTCCTTCACCATCAAAACATGAAGCCAAGCTATTTTTTGCTCCACTCTGGTCGAGCCAGGTCAAGATCCACAATTGCAATCGCATCAAAGAACATCGAGAAGATCCGGTTTGTGAAATTAAAATATGGTAACATGGATCGGTAACTACAAATTAGAGCAGAATTCTTATATATTCCCAAAAACTAAGAGCCTTTAATTGAATGATTGGATGCAAACTATTGATACTTCATCATAGGGCTGGGCGATAATTCAATAACGATATCTATCGATCGATAGA